TAGAGATTTTGTCAGTCTTACGCACAGAACAAATCGCTTTTTTGCAAAGTTATCTTTTAAAAGTATGACAATTTGTTATTTGATATCGTGGAAGTTTCTGCTAATGACATCATTATCACATGATATTAATTTAATCTATAAAACCTCCATTTCTAAAAATCTCTATAATTCTGATTCCCTCTAAAACTTATGTGTACTTCAGAAGATACATGTAAATCATGGTGATTTGGCTGATTTCAGTAGATTTGGGGAAAAATGATTACACCAAGTTGTTTGCCACAAAACAGAAATTTTAAATCTTAATTTTGGGCTCAAGTGTCTCTTCGTGAAACGGTGACAATTGAAAGGTCCTGTAACCTAAAAACTGTAGGTCCAAGTGAGTTCATCCATGGCATGATGTGTTAAAGGTAAAACTAATGATGATGTCATGATGACTATTACTTATAGAAATACCAAACGATAACATACATGTATATCAGCAAAGCAAACTTGTGGAAAGAACAATCCCGGTAAGCTAAAATTGGGACAGACAAACTGAGTTATCTACAAAGTCAAAGTGACGACGGAATTAGATTAATATAATGTACATTTAAACAATCATAAATTGATTGGCCAATATTTACGAAAATGATGAGGACCTGGTGAACACATGGAATAAACAGGATAGCGAGTTGTTATGTTAACCAAAGAATGCAGGGCAGGACATGGTATGGCCTTGAGTCATACATTGTTGCTTGGGTCTGGTTGGTCTGCCGGTGGGTGTGGCTGGCAGACTTGGTGGGTAGGGCTTGCAAGGGAGTGGATTAAATTGTTGCTGGTGTGCTCAACAGTTCATGATGTTGGCTGAACCCTAGATGCCTTACTCAACTCACGGACCATTTACCCAGGGATGTGCAACTTAAGCTCAGAGTTGGTTCAATGCGTGTTACGGCCGGCACAATATCAAAGCAGAAATTAAATTGGATTATCTTTAATAATAAAACATATATTCCTGTCTACCACTTTGTTTTCTTGTAATATTTTAATTCAGGGTACACCCATTCTAAAAATATGTTGCTCAAGATATTTCATCCTATACATTCTGAGAAAAGTGTACCATAAAATTGGGGAATTTTGCCTCATTAAAACTTTGTTTCTGCTTGAAATCGATAGATAACAGTTGAGACATTTATGTCGCAACTCTCTCTATAAATAGCTCTTCTACGTAGCTTGACTGTAGCAGCTTGGCCTTTAGTGATGTCAGCGGTCCACCAGCCCACAGTAGTATTGCTATAAGAGACCTTGGCATGGGAGGGTCTATACCCCTTGTATAATGGAGTATACCTACCATTCATTTACTCAACTTGGCTTGATACAAAAGATATACAGTAGTTGTAGGAGCAGGAGATTTTGGTCCAAAGGGGCTGACCCAGCCTTGCCAAGTAATAAATTTAAATTCCTGACTAACAATGGATAATTATATTTTTATCCTGTGATTTTGTTGACTGTTACACTTGTCTTTGAATCGCATCTGCAAGTGTTGTACACATTTGTTCACTTTACGGATCTTACAGCATATGTTTTTTCCAAAACTTAGTAGAAAAGCCCTGTGTTCTGTTGCAAATAGGCAAATTGAGCACCTTCCGGATGATTCGCGTAAAACAGTGCAACTGAATGAAACTGAATGAAAAACCCTCTAATAGAGAAAATCATGATCTCAAAATGACCAGTAGTGATTTACAGCTGATCGATAAAGTTTTACAATGTATCCTGGTGCGGTTCCAGATTTTGTTCAGAGGGAGGCACACCCAAAATTGGAATTTGTCAAACTTCAGTCTTTTATTTTTTATTTAAAATTTTTAATATTTTTGATTTTCTTTTCTTACAACGCTTCTTTTGATTGCTTACTTAGACATTGTTTTAGGTCAGATCCACTTGACACTTTTTAAGTTGAGATTCCTAAAGCATGTTTCCTCTGTAGTGCCATAGTACCTGTACCGGTACATTTGTGTGCAAAATGCTCTGTAAGACATACAAGAACGGGCAATGCATTTTTCTTGTAATCCAAGAAAAGCAGAAAAGGCCTTCTTTCTATTGCAAACAGACATTGTACATCTAAATTTAAACTGATTCTTTTCAGCTATTTATGTATTTGCAAACAAATTTTTTGAAGTTATACTAATGCACTTTATGTATGGTTTTCTGTTTATTGTGCATGCACCAGAAGCTGCCATTTATTGGCTGGATGTTCATGATCTTTGTATATGTAGATGCAGCTTATAGTTCTTCATTCATGACCAAAGCAAGGTCATTTTGTTCTCTCTTTTATTTCACGTGCCCAATCTTTATCATAATTTCACTGGTGTTTATACCGCCATTAAGGGGCCATTTATTTTCCTTATTTTTATATGTGCACATGTTCAAGAATGTTCATTTATTGAACCCCTCCCTAGCATACAAACTAAAAAGGAAAGAAAAAGTTGTGTGAGGTATTTTCATCTGTGGCGTAAATCTGGGGAGGGATGATTACATCATAGAACACTGAATAAAGAGCAGTGTTTTTGATACCAATATGCATCGGTAAAATGTATTACAATCATGTAGAATCTTGCATCAGACCAGCGTTGCTTTTTTATTGTTCACTCTTTGAGTACTACATGTATTTAAGCCTTGAGCTTGACCAAGAGAGGGCTCAAATTTCTTGGCAACAGAGCTCCTTTGGTCAGAACTGCACTTTGCTGGTTCACGAATGACTGTGAAAAAACGCCTTAACTTTATTTCCTCACCATGAAAAAGTGGAGGACAATTCAATTGCCCATCCCCCAGTCAAAAAGCAGGGAGGATACATGTATATACCTCCCCTGGATTGACATGCATGATTTTCATAATCTTAGTTTGTGAACTCGAGAAAATTGTAAAAAATAAATGTCAGTATGTTTTTAAGTTGTGAAGTTGTGATTTGCATTTACTGATTCATAAACTTTTCCCCTCTATGCAGAGAGATATGGCAAAATGGATCAAGTTTTAGATAATTGGACAAACCCAATGTTTTCATCACTTGAAACGGATATTACGGATGCCCAGTCTGCGCACTTGCCTCAGAATTGTGTCAGAATGTGGGACACCTTTCACCCGTACAAGTTCCCCAAAACAGTGTTTCAGGGAGTGAAGGTAAGTGCTAAATTCATGTTTTGTCAACAAATGCCAAAAAGAATGAGCCAGTTTTTAACATATAGCTCCGCCAAGTTTTAACACTATTTTGCTAAATACATGTACATGTATCTTCAAGTTGAGAAATGATAAAAGTTTTAAGGATTTCTGATTTTGATGTTTCTTGTTCTACGAAATATTCTTATTATGGGGGAAAATCTTCTTTCTCCCTTCCTAAAATAGTTTTACATATGAGTGAGATAAATTTTACACTTTCAATATCATCATCTGATACACAAAAATATTTGTGACAGTACATACATGTAGATGGATCATGTTGAGAAATCTATGGTGTCTGTTGCTTAATAGCTTGGGCTGTTTTGTCTTTGGCAGAGTATTTTACCACCGACATATGGCACCACACAGGCATGTAGATATGTCACAATCATAATTACTATATCACATACTAATTCATGACAGATCGCAGAACTACCATCAGTGCATTCACGGTCACGTGCCAGCTGCTATTTTTGCTGTTTGCCAAGCGCACATGCAATCATTCATGGAAGGAGTAAATACGCATGTGTTTTTAATTGTCATTCGGCTTACCTTGGCAAGAGTACAAAACGCATGCGCAGTAGCAGAAAATCCAGGAAGTATTGCCCGGGTTTACTGTGCACTCATGGTGCCGCCAGCCTAGTAATAGTCGGCATGCATTCTTGTGTGTAAAATAAATGTAAATCGAAAAAGATGAAGTGTTTATGTTTTGACCTTAGGAACAAAATAAAAGTTCTCACTTTCTAAAATAGTTTTACATAGTACAGACATACCTGTGTGTTACGTCTGTGGTAGAATACTCTGTCAAAGACAAAACAGCCCAAATTATTGAGCAACAGACACCATAGATTTCTCAACATGATCCATCTATGTACTGTCACAAATGTTTTTTTGTATCAGATGCTGATAAGGAAAGTTTAAAATTTATTTCTCTCATCTACAAGTAAAATTATTTTAGGAAGTGAGAACTATGGTTGAAACACAAACACTTCATCTTTTTATTTACATTTATTTTTATACACACAAGAATGCATGCAGACCATTACTAGGCTGGCGCCTCCACGAGTGCACAGTACACCGAGGCAAAATTTTTTTCTGCTGCTGCGTATGCATTTTTAATCTGTCTGACCTCAAAGCATTATAATATTTTTATCATGCAATTCAGTTCGGTTCTGTCAATTCAGTTTTTATTCTCTCATCAGGTAAAGTATTAAACTCAGTCTCTCATTATGCATCACATAAAATGGTAAAAAATTTACATAGAAATAGTTGTTTTTTTGGGGGAAGCGGTGAAGCAGATGTGATCCTATGTAAAAACCGATCTCTGTTCATCTGCCTGTCAGTCCATCTGTTGGGGTGTCCGACTGTCCGTCTGTCGAGGTGTAGAGCAGGCCATCCGCCTGATGTTAGAGTTTTTGCCTATGGGTTTATGGGTAGTAGTATGTGTCATTTGTGCTTGCTGGGTGGAATGATGGGTGGGATGATTGGATAGGGGCACAGAGAAGGAAATGGATGGGATCATCTGACAAGTCTTGTAGAGGGAAGCAGATGAGACGTTCTTGGGTTAGTAGCAAGTGCGTTGGCAAATTTTGTACAATGTTCGACTCTTTTTTATCAAGTGTATTAAGTTTTGAATATCCGGGTAAGATGCGTACTGACTTTCCATGAGTGTTCGACAAGCACGTTTCTGAATCCTTTCAAGCTCATCAATTTGTTTCTTTGTTAAACTGGAATGCCATATGACATCACCAAACTCAACCATTGGCCTAATGTAACTATTATAAACCATCAAAAGTTCATTTTGATCAAAGCCAAATTTTTTCAATGATCTTGACATGAAGAGGCGCTTGTTTGCTTTTTTTATCAAACAATCAACTTGAGTCCCTCACTAGAGATCAGTTTGAAACCACAAACCCAGAACCCTTGCTTTATTCACATACTGTCCAGTTTTCAAAGCCAGTGATCCAATTCAGTATGAATAGGGGCAGATTTACTTAAACCTCAAAAGCCCGACGTTTAGAATGATTTAATTTAAGACATTCACTTTCAGCCCAATCCTTGAAATTGTTCAAGTCAGTTTGTAAGTAAGACATCAATTTAATTTTTTTGTTTTCAGCAAAAGTTACCGGTAATGTCAAAATATTTCCAGAATTCGATGATAATCTGGAAGGCTATTAGTTGTAATTTAGTGCCCTGAGGGACACCTCTCCTCAGAGTAATGTAATCTGAACAACTGTTATTAAATCTAACACATTGCTGACGGTTCTGAAGGGCATTGCAAACCCAAGGGATGATATTACAACACTTCAATTTCAAGATTCTTGCTAGTAAGCAAGGTACATATGGTCGCCAAGGTCAAAATTAAAGCTTTAGAGAGATCGCTTAAAACCACTCCCCCGACATCGCAACTTTCTTCAGCACCTTGGAGAAGATAATGAATAATATTACTCAGATAATGATTAGTAGAGACTCCGGGAACATCACCAAACTGTTTCTTATCGATACATTGAGCAATATCCGCATTGATCCAATCACAAACAAAACATACAGCTATATGTACTGGTACATGTACATGCATCTCCGCGAAAATAGGTGTGAGTGAGATGGGCTGCAATTTGTCCAGGGAGGGAGGGCTTTGTATAGGCACTGGCACAACAATAGCCCTTTTCCACTGAACAGGGATAACCCCATCATTAAAGGAGCAATTGAGAATATTGGTCAATGGCACACTTACATGCAATTCATAAGCAGATTCCTTTATCAGCTTAGCAGGAACTCTATCTGGTCCAGTGGCCTTATTTGAGATGGATGGATGGGAAATGGGTGGGATGATGGGATAGAGGGTAGAGTAGGAGATGGATGGGATATGGGGTGGAACCTTTAAAATGCCATTTGTTTTAAATCAGTATCATACATTCCCCTTTCGCAATCCCCATGCATGCCGCCATGGACTATGCGTGTAATATTAGACGATGGACCAAGGACCCCTACCTATAAGATAGCCATGCAGCACTGCCGGCCGGCACGATACTCGTGACTGCGCCATGCGCCCCCATGTGTATATTAGCATTTTATCACCAATGGCTTTAAAATGTAATATACTGACTGCTAGCATAAGTTTTGTCCTGGTATGGATGATAAGCTTTAATATATTTAATGGGTCCTAATAATTTATGTTTTGATTATTTTAATAGTGCTATGTTTTGTTCTACATTTCTCTCTCAAGGTGCTCGGTCAAGTGGATAATAAATTTATTGCTTGCATGGGTTACATAGACGAAAACAAAGCAGCTGAACCCAACCTGTTATTAATGATTGATCAACATGCTGCACATGAAAGAGTTCGACTAGAGCAACTGGTATCAGGTGGGCTATTGACAAAGTTTTGTGTAGTACTTTGTATCCCTAATCAGCATGTCTTAAACTTCACTTAAAGGTTATGGAATGGCCATTGGCAGCTATTTAAGATTAAGTGAATCATTGTTAAAATCTTACTTCCCTGAAAGATTGTAATATGCCTGTTCACATTACAGCCTCTCAACCCGGGTTGAACTTAACCCTGGGGAACCCATAACTACTCTGGGTTGAAAAGTTTATTTTTGAACCCCACGTTCAATCCTGCATTGTTTCACACTTGTTTCATGCGAACTGAACTTTTTGGGGTGAGTTTCAACGTGGAAATGAGCAGGAACAATTTTCAACCTGGGGTTGAAAAATCTCAATCCTGGCCTGGAGTAGGGTTAAGTTCAACTCGGCTTGAAATCAATATTGGGTTGACACACGGTTGTTGTGTGGTTGAAAATGTTCACGTGTGAACCATTGCCAGTTTTTAACCCTGCATCAATCCTGAGAGTTTTCTAGTGTGAAAAGACCTCATGTAGTGAGCTCCCTGCACCTTTTTATGTTGTCATGTTGAAAACGAAATGAAAAAATCAAAACAAGGGATCTTCTTTATAAAGTGACACATTTTTGAATACTGCCCCTGTTGCATCCTATTACCAGAATGCATTGCCACCATGTCCATGAATTGTATTCTTGGAGAGAGATATACATATATATTGTCTCTAAATGTGTATGCTGTTTGTGGTTTTTGTGTGGTATTTTTCTCTTTCTTTGCATGTGCATGCTTTTAGGTTACTTTAGTTAATTCCACGTAGCCCGTTTCATCTAGCGATATTATATAGGATCAGCCAGGTGACCTGAGACAGTTGAGGCCTTCACGCATTAAGTAGTCCTCAGCCCTCCCCCAAAATCGACTCCTATTGGTCAACAGTAAGATCGAGGTGTTGTGGTCCAAGCCGATTCTCATAATTACCGCGCTAGTGGTCCACTTGAGCAGCCCTTTAACTGGTCCGAACTGGCATTAGCGAACAACCACACATAGGGGACTGAGCTGCGGTGTGTGCGATCAGAAAACTCAGCTCCCCTGGTGCAGTTACAGGGACGGCAAGGTCAATTGAGGCAGTCTGCATTCCAGAAGTGCTTACCGAAGAATATTACACTTTGCCGGGATGGCTCACAAAAGCTTGGAGAGGGATGGCTCCACGCCACCTGTGCTAGCTGCGCCAACCACCTTGCGCCACAAGCCATCACCTTCAGACATTCTTTCAATGGGGTTGTCCAGGCATGAATTAGACACTACAACTTAGGGGGCTGCTCCCCCACTGACATCCGGGGTGGCCCCGGTGACTGCAGTGCTGGACCATACAGGCACTATGCAGACTGCAACATGGGCAACAGAACCCACCTGCCTGCTACGCCACCGAGGCTTCCACATGCCATATGAACTTACTTTCGTCTGGGTTTCAAATGGGCTCACTAGGAAGAACTATGCCGAGGCAACTACCCTTGTGGTTAGGGATCAACCAATGTAGGTTTTAACTGCCGATCCGATGTCTGATGTTTTAATCAGAACATCGTCCGATCCGATGTTTTCACCGACAATAACTGAAATGTAACCTTAACAGGATGTAGGCCTACTAACAATACAAAACCCGTGTACTCCCTTAAAATGTCAGTTTACATATTACGGTAATAAGAATAGTTTTTGCCTTCACAGTCACCGTTGAGAGAATAAATCGTGTAAATTCTGTACATCTTTCGCCACCGCGCACGACACCGATGTAGCCTAACTGATTACATAAACCCACGTCGTGCTTCCTGTGTACGGTACATGCAGAATAGACACAGCTTCTCCGACTGAATCTCGGTAACCTTTAGTCATCAAGGTGCACATGGCACTGCTGCACCATTGCGTTGGTGTCTTCATCGTGCATGCCAATGGCAGAGGTGCATGTTGTGTGTTTAGGTAACCATGCGGCTAAATTAAAAGTTAAATCGCAGGCTACCTTCAGACCAGTCACACAGCACCTCCTGTGTGCAGGGTGCCACACATGGTGTAGTTCCTGGATTGTTTTAATGGGTGTCAATAGAAGCGGTACACATGTACACTGACTGCTCCATGGGGCCGAGGTCCGTGCATTGAGTTGTTGCGCATAGATTGCGCAGGTACCAGTATAATTTCAGGGATACTTTACTTGGGTTTAACCATGGTATAACTGTTCACAAATGAAAAAAACAAAGTTTGTATTTATGCTCAAATAAAAAATGTGAGCTTTTGTTTGCCAAAGCTGAGTGCAGAGTTTGCTCCTTTCTTCAAGTTAACCTCAGCACTCATATTGGCAAGGAAGGTCAAATTATGCCGATCCAATGTTTTTGCCGATGTTGCCTAACACTGGCCCGACCCGATGTCCGAACCAATCATTGGTTAATCCCTACTTGTGGTTCATCAGACTCCCTCCTCAGTTGAACATGAACCACAGCCCGACCATTCCTCCGACACCTCAGTCAATCCTGCGTCATCTGCCGATTTTGCGGCGGGATCGCCCTTGCGTAAGAAGCGCAAACACTCCTCGTTGTGTTCCACAGAGACCAAATCTAAGAAGTCACGATCCTCAATCCACCAGGATGTTTCTTCTGCAGCTATGATGACAAGGTACTAGTCCGAAATACTCTCTTCAATAGCCAGCCGCCTCGATCCAAGGCCCATGCCTGTGGTGACTGCCCCAGATTCAGATCCATTATCCCCGGATCCTTACCCACATCTGCCTCCGGCAACCCAGTCCATTCGAGGCAAAAACATCCCACCTCCTGCAAGGATCATGGACACGGATACAACCGGCACCAAGACCCAGAATCCTGGGCGTGATGTCAGCCGTTATGCACACGCATCCTGGTCCAATCTCAAGCCGAGCAGGGTGTGTCTTCTGAAGACGGAGATATCAGCTCCACTGCCAGCCACCCATGGAGGCACATCTCCGTCTACTTTAGAGAGACATGATGCAGATACTGCGCCTGCCCTCCACTACTACACCGGGGAAGCCTCGTCACACACCTCTTTCAAGTGCCACCCAACCAGACTCGAGACCTTGACATCTCTCTTTCTGGAGCTACTGCTGGACCTCTCATTTGTCGCAGTGTTTCAAGTTCTTACTGATACTAAGTGATGATGGCCATATGCCCACAGGACACCATCCTACTTCCATTTTTCCTAAGACGACTTTGACAACTTCTTCGTCTCAGAGATGCGTGTCACCGCTAGAGATAAGGACAGGACAGGACAGGACACCTGGGAAAAACCTCTTTGTGGACAAGGAAAGGCTTACTTCAAGTTCACCCTTTCTGAACTTGACAGAGCCTCACAACATGGTCTCTGATGCACCGCCTTCCTGTCACTTCTATTAGAGTACCTGGCGCATGCTTGTGAAGAAGCCTCGCCCATCACTCTGGACTTAGTGACTGTTGCGCTCCCAGCCCTTGATGTGAACATCAACAGCATATTTGAACAGTTTACACGGATCTCCAAAATGGCTACATCCACTCGAAGATCCAATGTGCTTGAAGCCATGAATATTCCCCACAAGGAAGTCAAGTCAAAACTTGAAAGTCTCCCACTCTACAGCAAGGACTTTTTGCCGGGAAATTCATGGCAACAATGGAGGCTGAGGCTAAGTCGATTGACACCGCCCACAAGCTTAGCTTTCCCATTAATTAAACATGGATCTTCATTGTCATCTGAGTACAAATGCAAAACCATTGGGGAAAACCTCCCTTTCGCTCCATTCTACCATGACCTAGTGCTATACTACAGTAAAATCTCGATAAGTCGAAGCTCAGGGGAATGGACGAAAAGTTCGAGTTATCCAACATTTGAGTTATCGAAAGTTACACGCTTCAGTGCACATGCAACCTTACCATGCTTACTGGCTTAAGGCAGTTGGCCTGCTAGCTTAGTCGAACACGAAGTGGGTTTTAGGCTATCCCTACTGTGTAAGTTTTCCTCAAACATCATCGTTAAACATGTTTTTATGTAGTACATTAATAAACAATAAACCATTGAAGTTATGTACCGGTACCTGTGTCTACGTCTTGAGAATTCATTCATTTGCTTTGCTTGATCGGGCTGTTACCGCATAACGCAGCGCGCGAGCCAGTCGGTCAGGGTTTCTGTGCTGGGTCACGTGATACATGTACAAAGCGCTTGAGGGCACATCATTCGTGCCTGATTTACTAAGGCTGCATCCGAATCTCTTGTCTAGAGCTAGGTCTTGGTATTCACTCCATTGGAAATGCATGGAGACGCGCAGACAATAGACCTAGCCTTAGCTCTGGAAGCCCGTTTCAGACACGGCCTTATTATTTTACGGTTGCGGTTGATGCCCACCCAGTGCTTGTCGACCGACGTGACAATGGCAGCCTTTGTGAATATGCTCGGCTCATCAAAGAAAAGCTGTGCACGTGACAGTAATGACTCATAATGAAGGCAAGCGTTCTTTTATCACTTTTTATTCATCATTCTTCAGTTGTTTTTTTTAATTGGCCTACCAAAACTTCGACATAAGCAGCTTAAGTGGTATTGACGTTTCGAGTTACGGATAGTTTATTGTACATAAAGGCCAATTCTTTTGTCAGGAATACAGAAAGACGTCGAGGTAAACAGAGTTTCAACTTAACAGGCTTCGACTTATCAAGATTTTACTGTATATACATGGTTTAAATTTCTCTTTGCTTTAGTTTAAGATCAGCCTGCAATTGCCTAAAATTGGTACATGTACCTGAGAAGGCATGTTTAATGCCGAAATGGAAGCCGATGTTGCACCACTGCTGGGTGCAGGCCCACTGTTCGTGCTTGGGACTGCTCCTTACACATCCGTCAACTCTTTGCGTTGCTGTGACCAACTACCCTCTGCTCTTCAATGCGTCTTCTGTTCAGGACCTGCTAGTCCAAAGGCCTCGCCTCGACATAATCCAACATCTTTTCCAGATTTTGCTTTTGCCCTCCACTGAGGGCCAAGGTCAATACATGGCTCCGTCAGTCTTTGTCAAGGTCCTGAAGCAGTCGGACATGATCCCGGCCATCGTCCACCAAGAGATGAAATTATCACTTGAAGATTTTGAATGTTTCACATAGCCCTCTAAAACGTGCACTAACAGGCCCATCTGTGTTCCCGTAAGTGACTGCACTCTCCTCCACAGATCCATCATGATGGCCTTGTATTTTGTTACACCTCTCTAAAGCTCAGGGCGTTGCCCAACGATAACACCTGCATGCGTCGAGAAACTGAAGGGACAGCGGTATGAATAGCCCACTTTTAAGTTGCTCCAGAACTGCAATAAACCGTAACATAACGAGACAAAACCCAGTGAGCACCTGAATGCCCTTTTGCATACAGAAACCAAGTAAACTTTACATAACAGAGCTTGTATGTCTGCTATACAGTCAAAATCCAATGCTTGTAAAAATTTTCCTGCTTCACCCACCCAGTGCGCCCGGGCAAACCATGGGGAAGCTCATGCATACAAGTGAAAATGTTTACTTCGCCTACAGAGGGACCAATCTCAAGGACACCTGATTTCTTGTTGTATTTTCTTTTTTCATTACAAAATGCTGGCTGTAATTTCCTTCTACATTTTCCACTTCAAAATGGAAACGGGGCAAAACTGAATGCCACAATCAAGACAAATTACAATCTGTTTTCAATCATGATAAGATGTTCCTCATTTTGGCAGTCTTTTAATTCTCTGATTGCATCTGTAGAATCTGTGTACATACATGTACAAAGCAATTCTTTGTAAAATTCATCAAAATGATATTATAAATATATATTATTACAAATATTATTCATACTTGGTTTTCAATTAATAAAACTAAATTTTGATAATATTTCTATAAGCTCTGGTGACCAAAAGATTGGGGATTGGGGAAAATAGTGAGTCTTTGAGATTAGGGAGATCTCGAAAATTCCCTGGCACACAGGATAGATAGCCAAGCCCCTGAGAGTTGGAAATGGTGGGGAAGAAAATATTGGGGAAGTTTTTTTAATTTGGAAAGGAGGGAAATCTGGTGACTTGGGGCTAAAAATTGAGTAAACCGGAGACCACAAATGTTATCATTAAAGGCTAAATGACAGTCTTTTTAGGTTGATCAGCATCAAGAAGTTGATGTAGACAGGGGTCAAAACTGGGTCAAATGCTCCAAATTTGTGAAAATCTTTGCCCTCGTATCTGCTCCGAGCAGAAACTAAAGAGGGTGTGTTCTTAAATGAAGATGATGGTCCTTTGGTAAGAACTCACCACTTAGGAATGCAAGTTTATATGCATTTGGCATGGGGCATGAGTACACACTACAATTTATGCTGGAATGTATAGTCTTCACCAAACATGTGCAGGAACCCAGTTGGAAAACTTCTCACCAGCTCGTCTTTCTTTAACTAATGAGGGTGCACTTCAATTGAGGGCAGATACATGTAAAAACTGGACCTGAAACCTCATGTTTTCCCCATTCAGTTCTATCAACAGGGTAATTTAACATAGCTTGCATTCATTGTTTCAACAAAAAGAATCCTGCTTGTCCACTGTGTTTTTGTGTAAGGCTGCTTGCAATATCATGCATTGGGATTAATCATTCATGTCATGTGGTTAACAGCTCACCAATCAGATAAAGGAGATTAATAAGGTGTTGTATAATATAAGTTACCAATTAATACAGCTAGGCTGAGGACTGCAACCATGCATTTGGTGCATTGAAGCTTAATTCGTGCTATTGATATCATTGCAATTATTTTGAAGATATATTTGAAGCTCCTGTTGTTGATGCTGAGGATTGCCAAGATGGTATTGCAAAGCAGTCACAGTTGAAATCGTCAGCTGTCATCCCTCCAGTCGTGCTCATCTTAGCTCACAAGGAGCTTCAGTTGCTTCAATCTTCCACCAGCAAGTTAAAGAGACTTGGTATCTCTTATCGTATTGTTGATGGTGATGGAGCTAATGAGACAGAAGGTTCTGTTGAGATTACAAGGTTACCGTCGTGTCTAGTAGAGAGGGAGGCAGAAGAACTCAGCAGGAGTAGACAACCTGTAGCAACATCAGTAATCCAGGTATGCTTTTGAAAAATAAATACAGAAGCAGCAATGAATTAGTCGCGCTGGCTTGTGCGTCTTTGATTTGAACAATTTTTGTAATCTATTTGGAGTGATGTTATAGTATAACTTGCTTCTACATATCAAAACTTATGTCACATTTAGTCATTTGAAGAGTCACAGATTCCAAGTCAATCAGAGAACTGTATCTTAGCAAGTGGATATTTTCTTGTCATCACAGGCATTATTGGAAGAATATCTGCAGGAACTGCAGAGGACAGCAGGAGCAAGCGCAGTGCTTCCAAAGACAATTACAAACATTCTTAAGTCGCAAGCCTGCCATGGTAGGTTTTTCTCAGGTCTAACTGGAGTTGGTTATTAATTTTATTCTTTATTTTTGACAAAATACTTAATACTTGGTACAGAGTTTCCCTTAGTTGACCAGTCACGGCAGCTTCTATTACAGTATCCCAGTTTTATCAGAAATAAAGATGTGATTTTGAGTTCTTTCTTATAGCTCTTCTTATAGGCAAATGACCTGGGTGTATTCACATTTGTTATGAAAAACATTTCATCATGCAGATAAAATGGAATATATTCGAGGTTTCAGGCGCATTTATCCTGACATTGTTCTTAAGTTGTAAATGTAAGTAATCTTATTTTGAATGAAAATGAGAAGGTTGTCTTGTCCTCTTGGGTTGTAATGCGTGTAATTTTAACTTATGAGATCTTATAAGATTCTTATCAGACAGTGAAAAATGGTGAAATTGGTGTAAGAAAAGGTGTACAAAACTTCCAAGTATTAGATTGTGGTCTAAGAATTCAGAAGTGCTGGTCAGAAAATTTTTCAAGTTCTTTATAACAAAACGTGAGAGTAAGAAATCTTGGGGGAAACTTATCAGAAACACTTCCTCCATGCTTACATGTATAGGAACTCATGGTCACCTCCATAGATGTTTATCACCTCCTGGAAGCTCACTGTTTATGTCAAGTCAGTAAATTACATAATCAGTTGTGTGCTTCTCAGACTCCATGCAGTGGCATTGACTATTGTGGTGCAGCATGGGCTCTGTAGCAACAGACTCCCTAAGTGGTAAATTTGAATTCGGTAATTGTGCAGTTGACATACACATGTTCATCAGCCAAGAAGGAAAATGTGTGTTAGGAAATGTGCTTAAGAATCCTGACAGAAGAGAAATCTTTTGACATGATGGAGGAATGTATTCTAACACTGCATTTGGTCTACAAGATTATAGTAGTCAACCAGAAAGAAATATTGTACATTTATGTGGCAAGCTGTACAAAAATACCGAGGCAAACATGACAGGCTGGCAAGTCTGTACAAACATGTACTTTATGAATTTGGATGTACTTCGTGTAATTGTGCTTGTATCAAAACTGAAGGTACATGTACAGGTTATAAAAATTTCTAAAAATTCTTACATGATTGCTATAAGAATTCCAACATTTCTTATAAGATTCTATAAGATCTTATAAGGATTTTATATGCAAATTACGAATCTTATATGAATATTTTTCTTATAAGAGCATCTTTAAAACTCTTATAAGATTCTATCTCAGATGCTGATAAGAAACTCTTACAAGCCTCTGATAAGAATCTTATATTGAGTATTTCATATGGGATAATCAAATAGACTCATATTTTTCAATTAAAGTTGTGCATGTACCTTTTGATTATTTCAAGATACCTCAAAATTGATTCGAGATATCTATAAATCAATTTTGAGATATCTGGAAATCCATTTTAAGATCTCTCAAATTCACTCTAAGATATCATGACATTGACTATTGATGAAGCAGGATTGGCTGCACATTGGAAAGATCTTGGGTACTCGTATTTGTTCCTCCCGGATGACCTTGGATGCTCTTTCTTTGGACATGTGCTATTGGTCAATGATTTAGAGATGAAAAAATTGAAATTGTTTCCGCTTCCTGTAGGACATGGGTCAAAGGGTCCCGTTTAGGTGCAGTATGCAGGGTATGTTTTTGTATGAAATTGGTTGAGAATGGTCAACCTTCTAGATGCAAGAGTGGCTTAAAAAACAACTGTTGTCAAGAAGATGTAATGGAAGACATTCAGCAGATTTTTCACGCTAAAGATCAGACCTGACAAGAAAGGTCATGAAGTCGGAAACATGGTGAGTTTCAAAACTTATTTTTCTATCCAAAATATTTGAAGTTAGCCAATTAAGCCTACACACTGTGAATCCTCATGGGTGTATAAGACCTCCAAATTTAAAAATTGAAATTCTGCCATGACTGGCTTTCAGTTCTTGTCAATATTGATGCGGACCTTAAATTTCATCGGTTTTGAGGATTCTCAATTTAACTTCACATCCATTTCATATTGGTGCAGCCACCTCAGCTGCCATGGCTGGTCAAAGGCAGTAGGGAGTCTATATCGCTGTTATATTCACATTTCCCAAGAGATTGCTCTTTGTTTTGTGTTTAGATGGGGTTAATTTCTGTAACTTAGGGGCCATCCAAAGTTTAGAACATTCCCACAGTTGCACTAGTGTACAAAGGGGGGAGGGAGTTGTAGGCGGTATATGACTTTTGGGGTCCTGTAAAATGATTTTTTTAATAGTAATATTTCCATTGATATGTAAAACGTGAAAAAGCAAGAAAAGCAAGCATTACATACAATCACCAGTCATGTGATCATGTGCTGAAAGCTGGCTTTGATGGTGAGTACATCTGCAATATTCACATGCATCATGCATGTACATGTACTTTCCATGTAAGGCCCACCCTCTATGGCACAGCCTACACACCACATTGATATGATGCACTGTGGGCATGTATGTGAAGCCCAGCCTGTGAAAGTGAGCACACAGCACTATGCACCAGCAGTACCGTACCTTTACTAAATAACCTTTGACATTGTGGCACATCGTTCCCAACTCGATATCCATTTTTACCCGTCTACTGCAAGTCCATCAAAGTTTAGTCGCACAGCGCAGTCCAGTGCGAGCAGTGCAGGATCAAAGTTATCACGGGAATATCTTCGTCTCAATTCCAACAGACTGTGTTTAATGGACTTGGGATGAAAAGATTTGGCAAAAAAAGGGGAGATTTGGTGGCTCTTTGTAGTGGACCCAGTCACGCTACTCAGAAAGCAAAACTACTGAAGGTGGCATTACTTTGTTGAAACAAAAATCTTTTGTTTCTGATCCTTTGCCTTCCATTTTTGGTTTTTTTTTAACCCTAACATACATCAATCCTTCACTAGTAGGAGGGTTTAGGACTGTTAGGGTTAATGATTGTAATGGCATTGACAGATGAAGCGAATGCAAATAAAATGCTGACTCATGGCTTACATAATGGATTTAAGGAAATTTAAGATTGGCTTGCTGAAAGGGATATTACAATTCACCCTTCTCCAAACATGCCCACCTGATTACAGCCATTACTTGCTTTTGAATTATCTCTATTTGCTGCAAAAATGAGATGGTATGGAACAGAGGTCATTATTGCTAATACATGCAGCTCAATTAGACAAGCAGCCTTATGTCAAACATGCAGAGAATGTTAGAAAATCTCTGCAAAGCTTGACGAAATGTCAACTTGCATTGGCAAGGATTTGAAGTAGCTCTGATGTACTTCATTTTGAATTCAGTTGTGCCTTCTTTTGCTCTCTGAAAAGCTGAACTTTGCTTCCTGAGAAATACTGATTGTTACTGTCATCATTAACATCCCTCCAGGAACTCTCAATCTGCTGATTATGTACTGAGGATCCTGTTGTATGACTTGACCTGCTATGTCCTCTCACAATATTCACAATATGGCACATCAATATTATCTAGCCCATGATATGATCGCTTTCTCGAAGGAATCCCATAAACAGTTGTAGCTTCAAGAAAAGGTTCAGTACTCTCTTGTTATTTAGACAGCTCAGGTACAAAAACCAAATGAGAGCTGCCATCTATGACACCATGGACTGTCATTTTACACCTGTAAATAGGTGAAACAAAACAAATGAAATAACATTGTGAGTAGCAAACTCTTTTTTTATCCTTATACAGGAAAACCCCCATCACACCCACATGATCTTACCTTACAGGGAAGTTGTCAGGTCATAGTACAATTGCATCAAAGTCTTTTACATTGTGGAATGATCCAATTGCATCTTAGCAGTTGGGACTTACGCTCAGTTTAATTGTGCAGAAAAACATAATTCAAACTTCATGCACATGCTGGCAACATAGTAACAACCTGGAACGATCATGAAAGAACAATTTTTTGCCCAATTTTTAAAGGACAACCTTGTCTTATCCATCTTTGCACAGTGACCTGTGATCCTGTGCTATTGTTAGCAATAATACAACAATTTGGATTGCTGTACAGGAGTTTATCCATTTGATTTTGATTGGTTTAATCCAAGTTAGATTGGACTTTCATTTTCTCCTTGACGGCATAGTAGGTAATTCCAGTTAATCTGATCAAAGGCTTTTTTGGTCAACACTGATGATAGCAAACTCAAAATTTCCCCAATTAGCGTTGATCTACAACATCCCGAATGTGCAAGAGCTTGTAATGTACATGTATCTTTCACCCACTACACCACAAAATCATTCTTCCCCAACTAGAATCAGCATAACTTCAAGCTGTTGGTGATGACCTCAGATAGAATTCAATAATCAACTGTAAGTAAACTGATAGGATGCTAGTTCTTCAGTTCGTCTAGATCTGTTCCCTTAATTTTTGTAAATCAGCCTGACAAGGGCCCTATTCATGGTCTCACTTACAAGATCCCATTTGAAACAGTGATTATAAACATGTACCAAATCAAAATCAATAACCAGTAATCCAAAAACGTTGATGGCATTCTACAGTCAGTCCATATACACCTGGGAATTTTTTTTAGTTTATTTGGTAAAGAGAGCGAGGTTGACTTTGTCTTTGGTCATAATTGTTTCAAAGTCATGATCAGGAATTTCTTTCTTGTTAACATTTGAGTTATGAAGATGACTTTTTCTGAAATACTTTTAGATTTGTAAAAGAAATTTTTGAAAAGTGTGAGAAATGTTTAACATCCCATCTGGAGTATTCGAATGTGTGCCATCAGGATTGAAAAGTTTGTCCATTCTACTAATCTCCCTGTTTTGTTTTTTTTCAGTAGAAGGATGATTTTGAGGGTTTTTTCTTCATCCTTCATAACACTGCAAACTCAACTGCAATGTTTCCATTCCAAGATTTCATAGTTTGTTATTATATTTTTATCAAGAAGTTTGATATCTCCTGAATTAGCACTGTGGGTTGTGAATCAGCATATATTGCTTTTAGAGCTCACTATGAACAGGCTTTTCTGTTGGGGCCTTTTTTACTTTGAGGATTTCTTTCACTTGAAGTTTTCTGTATTCCCACCAATCTGCAATAGAGCTGTATTTGTCTTTTTATTTTGCCAAAACCTCTGAAAATGCTGTATTCTGAAAATAGATTCTTCTTCTAGGAGGCTTTTGTTTCATATCTGTCTACCTTGTCCATAATTTGATGGAGTAAGGGTCTTCTAATTTCCTACCTACTGTATATGACAATTGTACTTTGTTACACAGTTGCCAATCGGGGACCCTCTGTCAATCGGGGACCTTATTGTCCTCTATTGTTCAGGGTCCCCAATTGAATGCAGAAACAAACTCTTGAAAGAAAGAACGACACTTCAATGGGTTAACCTTGCGTATGAACAGGGGGAGCTAGATGCTGCTCTGCCAATCCAAAGGAATACAAGCTTGTGCCAGAATAGAATTGCACAAGGCTGTCATCCACTGGATACCAATATCAGCTGGGGCCTGAATCATCTCACTTACCACACCAGATGGACCAGTAGCCTTCCCGGACTTGGTGTGTTTCAGTGCCTCAATCACCTCCCATTGAGGTGAGGTGGGGTCATCACCCTTAACCACTTCACTCTCCACCTCCCTGTCCCACTCGTTCTTCACACTGAGCAACCGTTCCATGTATCTCCACATCTCCTGTACACCTTCACAATGTTACCATCTTCGTCCTTGACACAGCTCACACTGGTCACATCCTGCCACTCCTTTGCCAACTGCTTGACAATCATGAAGAATTGCCTCCTACCCCGCCATTCCGTAACTCTGTGGCAAACTCCCTTCTCTTGGCGTTTTGTGCCGTCCACACCTCTCTTCACGACGTACGCTTTGCCTCAAGGTAGGCAAACTTGTTCGCTTCCTCACCTAAATACTTTTCACACCTTAAAATGATGCCGCTTCTCATCCACTGCACTCCTGACCTCTTCGGTTCACCACCAAGTCTTCTTGTGCCTAGGCTAACGCTTAGTCCACCCACAAACCTGTTCAGCAGACTTCAACCAGATGTTCCTTGGCCCAGACCACCTGCCATCCACACTCTCTTAAATCACAGCCTGCTCTGTCAGCTCCTAATCCATGATAATACAGATTTAAAGTGGGCCGATGCTGCCACAGTGCCTACACACAACGCCTGGAGCCTCACATCCATCCTCAACACTGTTGACCAAAGGTTCATCAGCCATCTAAGTTGTTGTGGCACCCAAGAACACTATGGGGGTAGATGTCTCCCAGCAGGTGGGTTGCCACCTGTGGCTAATGGGCCATTCCCAGTAAATTGGTGCAAATGGAAAAAAGAAAATCTGACATTTCAACTTCTTGTTACAAGTTTGGAGTTTAATGCCAAACAAAAGTTAACACTTTCTGAAACATTTCCATGAAGTATAAACATTTGATACATCCTTTTTCAGTTTTTTCAAACACATGTATACCTGGTGACAGTTTCACTAAAGTAACTTACATTACCTATTGTTTCTTTCGTTTTCATCTGCTTAAAATTGACACATAGTTCTTTGCACAGACACAATCTTTTCTTTGAATGTGTGTAGGACCAGTAACTGGAGTAAAGAATATAACTGACAAAATTATGACTTACATGTTGGAAAAAAATTAATGGATAGCACAAGAAAAATAAACCATAGATGTGTTTATCCAAAGAGAAACGTTTTCAGTTTATTCACAATTGTACATATTAATTTTCTTAAAACTCTTTGGACATTTTTGAATGCCTACAGTTGTAAGCATTTCGTTTAAACCAGTAAAAACAACTTTTTGTGAGAAGTGTTTGTTAAAAAATCAGGTCAAACTGTGGTAACATAAGTTTCAATTTTGGTAACATATGTTTCCTTTTAATTACATTGGACTTATGACTGGCGGATATCCTTTTGGTAATAATGGTTAGACCATTGTTGATTTGACAGTGACTTGCATTCAAATGTGCAAAACAGAGAGTAATCAAACTATCAAAGGCATTACTTACAAAATCTTTTGCTTCTAGAATCACTAGCACTCAGGATTCTTTTGCCAATTAATGATATTTTTTTCTATCATTATTATATTTTTATAGATCTTCTAAAACCTACAAATAAAACAAGTTATAAAAGGAAAGTATGAGAACAGTCTCATAATAAACATGCATCTGGTAATGTTTGTTTCAATACAGTTTGTCAGTTTTTCTCTGTATTATAGCTTAGTTTGCTTTGATCTCCGACTTGTCCTCGTCATTTAATCGAAACAAACGTTTTGATGTTACTCTTTGTTTGGATTCATTTATGTCGGCATAGAATCTTGTCTTTAGGGATCCAGAGAGCATCTGATAATACAGGCCATTTGAAGAACTCGGAAACTTGTCGCTACGCTTCATAAAGTTAACAAAAAGTCTTCATCATCAGAGTCCAGTACCTTCCCAATGTCGCTCAGCTTATGTTTTCTTAATTCAGCCGTCCTTATTTCTTCATCCCCAAATCCCTCTGCTTTAGCTTGCTCACCAGTTTTTGCCTCTATATCGCCTCTCTCGGTTTTGTCCTCATCTGTTTCTTTCTCCTCATCATCTTCTCTCTCCAACATTGAAACTTCTGTTTCTTTTTCCATTTCTCCTATGAGTCATCAATGTCCTCCTCACGTACACTGTTGTCTTCATTGTCAGCAATATCTTCTTGATGTCTCGGAGCCCAGTGTGTTTGGCTTCCACACACAATACATTGTCCACGTTGATCACAATCACAAGCAAAATGTCTTAGTTGGTTGCAAAGCTTGCAAGTCTTTTCCTGACCTTGATATTGAATGGGTTGGGCAAAGCCGCCTACCCTGATATAACATGGGACTTTTTTTTAAAAACATTTTTCAGGAGAATACTACGGACCCCCATTTCAACATAGCTGTCATATACATGTACTTGCAGTGTCTTCTGATGTTTGTGGCTGTTCTGTATTGCATTATGGTGATAATGACAACAGCATCTGACATTCCATATGTACCTTTAATATACACAACTACTGAGTTCAAGATGTCAGTATTCGCATTGGATCAACTGGCCTAGTAGAATAAATCCTCCCCGAGCTATGCTCTCACAGTCAAGCTTATTTAATGTTTATACACTGCACCATCCATTGTCTCAGCTGTTCCTAGTTCATCATCAATAGCATTGTACACACTCTTGGCATTCAGGCTTTAGATGTGTCTTGCATAAAAACAAATTGTATTGTGAACTTAAGCATGACTGGTCTCTGCCATAGGTTCGGCCCAAGATGGCTGCTCTGTTGCACCAGCCAAAATCATGACTCCCTTAATAATGTCGAAAATGTGCCTACACATTACTGAAATTCTGCCAAATGTCAATAATGTGGATGAGTACTTGAAAAAAATGAATATGACAAAAGATAGTATGACAAACTGGTGAAATAAAGATGTTTCAAAGAGCTCGATGTATTTCATCTTGTATTGTCAAATGCATGCATTCGTTTACTGACTGACTGATTGAACGACCGACAGCTCATTTTTAAAATCTTTTTGATGAGGGATAAATGTCGAACCTTGACTCGGTTTTTTTTTTCCCTTTTTGATGAGGGATGAATGTCAAACCTCTTCAATTCTGCCACCTACGCCATGGCAACAACACAGAACTATGCTTTCCCAATGCTCAAAGTGATTGTTCACATGACATGACATGACATGACATGATATACGTTGCAAGCATAGTCCAGAACTTATCCATTTGCGTAAATTTGCTTGCCTGAGAATTGGGGGATCGGTGATGATAGGATGACAGCCACAGAAATTAAAAAAGTTGGGGGGGGGGAGGTGTGTTGACACCATAGTTTAATTGCTCTCTATGGTCTTTTCTAAAGGAGATCTGGAAAAATTGGTAAAATTTCTCTCATTGTTTTTAATTTACATGCCTGCAGACAGAAAACCAGGATTTTGTGCTTTGTAGAAAGAAATCGAAACCTTAAAAGTGGCATCTCTGTGATAAGCTCTGAGCTGAACCAAGAGAAGGGGCAATTTTCCTAGCAACGTAGGTGCCTTTGGTGGGAACTGGCACTTTGCTGGTTCACAAATGACTATGAAATATATGGGTTACTGTTGTGTTGCTGCCAAAACATGGTTCTTTTCAACCGATGAGGGGATGCGTCAGCGCAAGGGGGATAATGTGTACTGTAACCTTTTCAGTGCTATTGATTACATTTCAGTTGACGGAAAGTCCCCAACAAAAATATTCAATACCTGTCTTATTTTTTTTCTCACCTTGAAAAGGTCCTTCACCTCACCTTCAGTCAAAACAGGAGGGGGATTATAACCCCATCCCAAAGGATTTATGTCAATGAACTTATCCTATTTAATCTGAGGATTCACTGAAAATAAAGTAGCATAATTATAGCAAAACAAAGAAAAATATGTTAAAGCAGTGTTACCCAGCCCTCCCTAGCTTCTGAGAGGTGTTCTGTTAGCTCCTTAATACTGTGATACAACCTGCAGATTCCCCCTCCCCCCCCAAAAAAATGGACAACTTAGGCCGGTACCCCCCTCCCTCACTTGACATACCCTCGACCCAATGATAAATGCTATAAAGACTGTCAATTTATAATGTGATTTTATATTCTTCTTAAAATATGCACTATCTAGCAAATTATAGACATTCACTATTCAGGTAATTTCATCAAACATCGCATAAGCTTTTAATAAATGAACATCTCAGTCAATTTAACTTGCTCCACTTGTCCCTCTGTAGCTGTCGTATTATTGCCATAATTGAAAGGGAATTATGTTGACCCATAGTGACACAGAAGCGGAAACAATTTAGAGATATCAAGATATTTTGAAATTTGAAGATATCTTGAAATAGATTTGAAGATATCTTGAAATAGATTTTAAAATTTCTTGAAAAGGATTTTAAGATCTTTGGAACAATTTAACAGATATTTTCAAATGCATCTGAAGATATCTTGAAATGCATTTAGAGATATTTTGAAAGGCAATTTTAGATATCCTGAAATAAATTTAGAGATATATTAAAATCAAAGGCTTCCAAATGTTGCAATTTTTTCAAAGATATCTTAACCACTTGCAGCTGGGGGACCCGTTTTCGAGCACAAAGGCTTTATACATGAAGCCGGGGAGCCTGAAACCAGGACAAAAGAGCTGGGCCTTGTAACAAAAGACTGTGCTCGGCACAAAAGACTGAGCTGCTGGGCATTACCGACATTTTCTCACTCTCAATAGTGGAGATAATCCAGCCTTGTTTTGAAACAGTATATCACAGTTTTGGGCATTTAGTGCAAGCAGATTACCACCGGGGACAAAAGCACTCCACCATCGCAGCAATGAGCCACACAGCACCGCTGCATGCTAATCTGGCCCCTATTGAAAAGAGGTCAGCAGCGCACTGTGCCAGGTTCGTGAACAAAAAAAAGTTATATAACACCGCACAATCTGGCCTCCAAGGCTGCAGGGCTGGCTGAAATACTCGGGCATCAATAGATTTTTTCTGTCAGGAGACAGTGGCCACTGGACAGTAATTCATGTGGGTGTAAATGTCCATTTATTGAAATGATGAATTTTTTACGATTTTTTAAAACTGAAAATCTTGAAATTTGCCCGTATGTGTGCACTGCATTTTTCAAACCACCCAGCAGCATGTGGTTAATATCATTAGAGATATCTTGAAATAGTCAAAAGGGACCACTTTAAAGTGAATAAATGTCACTTCGGTGTGCCATAGTAACGTGTGTGTGTCCTTGGGTGAGACTGTGGTCAATTTTTGCTTCTTTCTTCCAATCTATTTGTTCCTATGATGGTAAAGATAGATGATTTTGGATTACGTTCTTGTACTTAATGGCAGCAGCAAGTTTTTTACTTCAGGAGCTGAGATGGCCTTTTGGCATCAGAATATTGAGTTCCCAAACTGTGAAAACAAACTTTTGTTGTTTACATGAATATTATTATCTTTGAAATTTGAAAAAAATCATCACTTGCACAACAAGCTGCCAATTTTTTGTTTAATTTGGCTGCCAACACAGGAACATATGACGGATGAGTAATGCAGTAGGATGTCTGAACAGGGAAGATGGGGTCATGGGTTGGAGTCTCAGCCTTGTAAACTGGCTATGCTTTGCTTCTGCAAAACTCACAGACAAGATGGCTTTCAGTTTTACAAAGAAACTTGTCCTTGTGAAGAGCAAAAGTTTGTATCCAAAGTTGTGTTTTTGGTGCAAAAATTACATCCTATTTGTCTTGATTATCAATTATTTTTTTCCAAGGTGCAATAAAGTTTGGTGAACCATTGAATCACTGCGAATGTTCGTCTCTGATCAGCCAGCTCTCACAGTGTGACTTGCCATTTCAGTGTGCCCATGGCAGACCATCTGTTATACCCCTCTTGGACTTCAGACTTTTATCTTCCTCACATCATGATAAGGTTAGCTACTTTATTCTTTCATTGTGTCATACTTGTGTTTCATAGACATCCCCTGCGCACTACCTTCGTCGTGTGCCTGGCAGAGGGGCATAAGAGCAAAAGTAGGCTAAAAAGGTCAATTTTCTTTTATTGCCCCAACTGAAAGTATTTTGTACGTGCTTCAAAGCTTCCAGAATTAAGTCCAAATATTGCATCATTATGACATAATAAATTGTACAAGGGTAAAGAAGTCATGGTGGAATTCGTTCCATGCAGGACATAATCATTATACAACCTTTTAAATGAACTGCCTTGACAGTAATCTGGTCTATGGTGACCTTTGATCCATTGTAAATTTACGTTAATGCTGTTAATAATAGGATGAAACTTTATGTCAACTTCAGCTCATCTCGAGTACGCCAGTTAGGGCTAAAAAGTAGATTTTTTTATGTTAAATACAAAATTGAGATTCAGTTTTTGACTTTTATTGGTTTGAAATTAAACTCGTAATTGGGTCATTCCATGAGGTTGTGACTGTGTCAGTTGTTATATTGGTTCTTAAAAAATGAACAGCTATTTCCCTGCATGTGGATTCCACATGTGGAACTGACATTGTTATACATTTGCAAGGCTGAATGCAGAGGTGTGCATTATTTTTACAGAGTAAATGACCTGCTCTACAGGTCATGACAGGTGGAAAAGTTGCGAATGTAACAAGGATACTGTAACAAATTGTGTCTCAGCCTCATGGAATGATCCAATCGCCTCTTTAGGCAGTGAATTAATAATTCAAGAAGTTGGCACTTTGCCATGTCCAGAAGCCAGGTTGGATTGATACATTCCACGTCATCATGGTCATGACCCAGTAGGTCTATTCTAGTGCATGTTTAAGAAAAAATTATGTGCAATTAATTAAGTAAAAGAGGTGAATTAAATAATAGTTTGAACATAATAGGGACTGCTTGCCCAGCTTGCCCAAATCAAAAGAACCACTTAAGATAACAATTCAAAAGTGAAAGTCATGATTGTAGTGATATGGAGGTGGAATAAGGAGAATTGGTCCATGGGGTTGTCAGGACTTCATGTGGGTCAAGTGGTTCTTTCTGTTGCTTGGTTTGGTTTTCCCTGCAAGCTGGGCATCCCTCATTACTGGACCGAGCCCAGTCTAATGTGGCTTTCTTCGTTTTGGGGGGGGGGGTCCAGCGCTAAACGGGTATATATCACTTGTCGCTGAAATTGTGGGTAACAGGTGATCCCAAAAGAAAAGAAACCGCAGGAGTGAGAGTATCAATCAGCTGACCCCGAAGCGGACAGGGCCAAGTTGCATAGGTGTACGTGCACTGGCCTATACACTGGCCACTGCATGATCTCTATATCAGTGGCACTTGCACAGTGGTCTGCTTGCCTCATCCATTCATGATTAGGGTGCACCAGTGAATGATATTATGGGAGAAATACTTTTTTTTTTCTTGTTTCAGCATATTACTTTCTGTTTCATGCATGTGTCATTATTACCCCTGTAAGCCTATTCTAGTTAAGTTCAGGAGATGAACTGTTAGTGTTTTGACATTGACAAAGCAATAAAGGCATGCGATCATGTTCTATTGTACACATTTACTAGTGACACCAACAGTGCGAAAGTTGCAAAGCAAATAAGGTAATCCTCACTAAATCCCACGGCGTCACCGTTTTCATTCCTGGCTATACAGAACATGCAACATGCTTTAATTCAAAAAAAAAAAATTGAGTAAAGTTAGTTCTTTAGTTTGGGTGTTCTTATGCTTCATTGTGGTTGACATAAACCTCATATTCATCATGGGAAATCAAACCCGTTCGTTTTTAGAGATACATGTAAATATTTTTCCCAGTTAATTAAGTAAACACAAATTCTCAAAAATGACAGAAAGTGTGTATCACCTTAACTTTGAGTTCACTGTAGCTTAGCATGTTGTGTAG